ATATATTGTAATAAGATACAATAATCAAGCTACTTTTTCTTTTTTTTTCTTTCCGTATTATCAGAGAAAATGAGAGCAGCGTTTGCTGACTCCTTAGATTCATCAATCATTCCACTGCATAGCATAAAACAAAATATACTCCTGATCGAGAGAATCTCAGAGGCTGAGAAATTAAATTATATAAATCTGTCATCGACCTCTGCAACAACAGCACAAAATATTTTTGAATGAGCTGCTTTCATCAGCAGCACAGCTCACAGCTTATGGGTTGAGAGGTTGCATCACTCTGACTCTGAATCAGCAGAACGAGCAGTGACACCTGGCCAGGAGCCGACGGCAGCGGGCCTAAGAGGAGGTCGCCACTTAATCAGACACAATGAGCAATCCATCAAATGCAAATCAATTATCTGTCAAGCTTTCCTTTTTTCGGCATTAAATTATATATTCCCCCCACTCAACACAAAACACAAACACTATGGACTAATAATACTTTGTAGAAAAATTCTTTCTCCACAGTTTATATAATAAAACCATAGCGTCTTAAGCTTTCGGCTTTTGTATCATTACTAGCATTCAGTGGGGCCAAGTATACTCAGATGTCACATAAATTTATTTTAAACTGTCTTAAGGTCTCAAAAAATGACAAATAGAGTGAAGAATCCATATCCGTTCATACAAGCACTTTCTTTTTCTATACAAAGTGCGACTTGGGGTTCAGTAACTTGCCCATGGATACAGCCAGGGATCAAACCCCCATCCTTCTAAAGCACGATTCATATTTTCCTCAGTGATGTAATGTAGATACAGATACAGATGTCACACTGACAGACTGACAAACAAAACATGTCTTTTACGGCATACTTTCATCCTTAAAACAGTTTGGGGGCATCAAGTTCAAACACATGATGACTGGAATGTATTTTCTTTCTATAGGAACTGCAATGTCGTCCCCACAGTCTGAACTGGACAGCAGCAGCGCCATACTGGATGACAAAGAGGACTCTTATTTCAACGAAATAAGAAATTTTATCAGCAACACAAGCCAGAACCAGACATCACCGGACCCCTCAGAGGAAGGGTGAGAGCAGCTTTATGTGGTGATACGTGCCCGTCTTTCCTCCTATTTCTACTTCTACAGGGAGATGGTTGTTTCTTGGCCTGGAGGGCCCGAGCTGATTCAAAAATAAATAATTAAAAGATAGGGAAAAAACAGATGAAGGGTGATCTTTTGAAAGGATACTGGTAAATCTACATTAGATTGAATATGTATTAACTGTGTGGGATTTACACACACACACAAAATATATATACAATAATGTGTCGACCACTATCCACCATTTTTAGACATCCAATTTCATACCTTCCAGCCAGGCTTTGTTAATAACAATCGCATCATTTTGGGGGGTCTGGAGTAAAGAACTCTTATCTGCGATGACATTTAAGATTTGGAAAAGTGAGCAAGCTCTTTAAATCAATTGCCTCTTGACCACATGTAGGAAAAGATATCAATATACATGCAACTTCATCTGGGCTTTATGCAAACAAATTCTTGTAGCTGTGATCAGATCGGATAACAGTTGCGAGGTCTACTCTGGTCCCTGAGTTTGTTTTCACGCGCCCCATATTGGTTTGATCACTGGAGGCCCGATAGAGATCTCGCAGACTAGCTCGTGATTGAGCAGAAGGCCTGTGAGAGCAGGGCCGAGCGGTAGAGTGTCAGAGGGACGGGAGGCAGGAGGGGTAGTGCAGCAGTTAGAGGACCACATCTGGAACCAACATGTCTGCCTACAGGAAGAGGGTAGAGGGGGTGGGGTCAAAGGGTCGGCTTGTGTTTCCTTTCAAAGTGCTGCACTGCTGACTGCTTCTGATAGATACTTTATCCCCAGCAAATTACCACGTTTGAAAGCGTAATTAGCGAATCTGTTTTCTTAATCACAGAGTTCTCACTCCCTCTTTTGGAGCTAGTTCTTCCTTGCAGCCCTGAATACCACCTGAACTCTCCACTCTGACGAGAACACTGCTGACGGTACAACATTATCAGTTCCTGAAATCTGAGACAAAACGACGCAAATCCTTTTTGTGCTAAAATCGAATACGGTGTAATTACCTCTCTCCCCCTCTCAAACGTATCCCTTTTAAATCCAGTGCGGCTATGCTGTTTATAAGCATTCTATAATTATGTGGTGTTGTGCTTGATGTGTTGTGTTTCCTATGAATCTCCTTCTCCCCCGTTCAATTTTCAGTCCCCTTCTCTGAATCCTTTGTGCAAGAAATGGCATATTTGGGAGCTGACGAAAGATGTCCCAGAGTGTAATTAGTGAATCAGTCTTAATGTGGTTCCAGATGATTTACCAAATGGCGGTTTCCTGTGGCACTGAAACAGAGGGACAGATTAAGACTCAGGCAGTTTGGATAGCTGGCCTTTTCCCTCTCCACAGGGATAGAGGAATGGGCTGGTTGGCAGCGCTCTCATAACTCTCCCACCAAATGGGGCTGTCAGCTAAATATTTTGCCTATTAGATGAATACGAGATAGTAGGGAAAATAAACAAGGAGAGAGGCAGAGCACTCCATTTAAGTGCTGCAATGATCAACCCAGTGCTGCTGTGCCCAAAGGGGCCTCAAAGCCTTGATGACAAACGGGATTCCGGCTCTGCTCAATTCCAGCTGCCCTGTTCTGCCTCACATCAGTTCATCTACAAACACTGGAAGAATTCCTTAATCACACTGCATATTTTCTCAAAAACAGAATGAGTATACGAATAACATAATTCAGCCAACAGGGTGGATGTTTCATTTCTTCAACCTTAAATGCCTACTGCGTTGAACAAGCCTCATGAACTAATGTTCCTGATCTGCAGGCTAAATGGCGGTCCATTTGAAGAAGAAAAGCCACTGATGGCCAGCCATAGGTCACATGACCTGGAAGATGAGGAAGCGGAAGAGTTAGGTGCGGATGAAGAAGAAGGGGAGGAGCCTAGCAACACCCCTGAAAAATCAGAAAGCAAGGTGCTCCGAAGCGACCTCAGTGATCCCATCATACAAGATGAAATGGACTTGAGTGAGCCAAATGACTTGAATCTCAGCTGCAAAACTTCTCCAAGGAGGTAATTTGACACAAGGTTGCAGCTCCAAAACAAAATGCATCACTTTAAATACGATGCTTTGAAGTCAAAAGTATCCTGGCAGCTTTTAACTGATGTTTGACATGACTTTCAGGTATAAAGACGAGGAGGAGCAGAGCAGCTACTCAGCCTTGGATCACATCCATCGCTTTACTGAAATGCGCAAGCTGGACGAGAGCGAACTGAGTGACGGAGATGGGGATGGGGATGAGGAGGACGGCTCATTTGGTTCCCCATCTCTGACTGAGTCAGTCAAACAGCCGCTCTTTAGGAAATCAAAGTCTCAGGTAGATAAAGATGCACACACACACACACACACACACACACACACACGCACGCGCGCGTACGCTTAGATACAGACAATCCATATACACGATTATCTGCAGTGTACTTAATGTTTTTTATGTAAATAATATAGTAAATTGTAATCCACCCCTTACTCCTTCAGGCTTATGCCATGATGCTGTCCCTGGCTGAAAAGGACACTCTTCACCCAGCTACCCACACCCCAGCCACCATGTGGCACAGTCTGGCACGGGCTGCCGCTGAATCCAGTGCCATCCAATCCCTCAGCCATGTATGATGACACCTCTTTGCACCTACCTTTTCAGCTCTCAACCCGACCCTGATCCACCTATGGCACTGGCAGTCCATTGCAGGGGCTATTTTGCAGGAATCCCTGATTGTCCACAGAGTGACTGCTGAGCAGGAACCACAGCCCACCCGACTGCTGAGCGAGGCGCCTTACCCCCAAAACACGGCAACTGCCCATGCAAAATCCATCCCAACCCAAGCCCCCCCCCCCAAAAAAAAAACCTCCAGCAGATAGAGAGCAAAAATGTCCCTCTGAGACCCTAAAATTGATTTGTTACATTGACACCAACCAGGATGTGGTGAAAATAATAATGCTAAAGTAATAATAGCCGTATTTATTCTTCTGAATTTCTATGTTTTGCACAGCAAAGGCAGCTGAAAGTTGTGGGAAGTGGATATGCTGATTTGTCGTCACTCGACTGAATTTTCTGGCCGGCACATACAAAGCAAGGAGAACATTTTACACCGAGAGTAACGCTGGTGGCGTCTAAGACAGCTGGTTTCAGCCTAGCATGTTTCACAGTGTGTAAAGCATAAGAACCAGAACGAGAATTCCCTTTGAACCCCGGAGAGATCAACAGGTGTTTCCCATGAATACATGATGATAAAACATTAAAAGGTCGGGCGAGCAACCTCGGTTCAGATGAAAATCGTTCCATGTAAGGATAGCACTGGCGGTGCTTTAATATCACTGAACTGAACTGAAGTACAAACATAAGATAGCGATTGCTCAACTAAAATCAGGCCAGTCTCCCATCTGCATCTTTCATAGCTGTGTGTGTCTGCACAATCATAGCACTGTACACAAGTGTCTGACAACTGTTGTCCACTGCACTCCATCCTGCCCACCTGCGATGTCTGTGAAAGGATATAAATAGATTGTCTGTTTAGTGGAAGAGAAGAAAACACGACGATTTTTTTGCTTTGTTTTGTTTTGTTTAATTTACTGAAATAAGTATCCAGTGCTGAAGTTAACTGTTGTTCTGTCGAGGACATAAGTCTTTTTCAAAGCCCTTGAATCCATCCTAGTCCACCAACAATACCACTAAATAGCCCGAATGCTAGTTGTTAGCTACTCCATGCTTGTGTGTCTTTCATTTTTAGACAATCACGATTTTGTTTTTCATTTTGGTTTCTGTTGGTGTTGTTGTTGTTATTTGCTGTTGTATTTTGAGAATTGTATTTATTTCTTGGCAAACTGTAGTTTGTTTACTGAATAGCACTGCTCTTAGCCCGGGCAAGGGGGAGATTCCCAGCCGGGCCAATCCCACAGTTCAATGGGGTTTGTAGATTACATTTGAGGGCCGGATAGTATTAAAACATACAATTCACTCCTTATTCTACTAATGAAATCAGTTGATGAATAGATATTACTTAGGGGTTTTTTCTATGACAATTTATTGATTCAAATGTAAAAAAAAAAAAAAAAAAAAAAAAAAAAAAAAAAAAAAAAAAAAAAAAAAAAA